GTTCGGGGTTGTGAAAAACCCCAGGGTGGTTTTTTTTGTGAGCCTAAACTATTAGAATTTAGGTCCTCCTGGAAAAAGAGAAACCTGGTTTTGCAGCTGCGAATACGCAGCCGAACTTTGCATTTTGTAACATTTTCAATCTAAGGGTGAGAGAAATTTGGTCAGCAATCCAACAATTTTTAGAACAGGCTATAGTAGCGGTTCACACAGCTCTCAGTGCAGTGTGGAGTCGCGAAATTTCGGTCGAAACTGGACTGATAGTTTGTAAGATTTCCATTTGTCCTTTGTTTACAGTGTGACAGGAGATACGCTTGGCTTTTAGCTGCAAACTTCCTACAGTGTATGAAAGTTTGCTTACAGTTTTTAAACAAATTTTAACAGTAATATACCCAGAGCAAAACATAACAGAGGATTTGATTTAATGAGTGATTAATAACTTGCAATTTTTTTTGTTGTTTTTTCTTTGTTTTTATCTTTTTCCCTTTTTCTTTTGTATAACAAGTTTTTCCTTAACAGCTGCTGCTCTGAACCTTGTTTTGAAGGGAGAAAAGGTGAAAATTAACTAACAAATTGTTTTATCCCTTTTGTCTGCTAGCATAGCTATATGACCAGGACCGGGAGAAACAGGAACCGAAAGCCTGGTTCAGGAGTATTCCCCTGCCCAAATAAAGATTGTTATTGTAATCCGTGGATTGTATTTCGGTGTGTAGTCTGTCAGGATTTGTGGGTCCGAAAAGGGTACAGGTGGCTAATACCTAAGACTGGAATTTGTGCTTTTTGTCGTTCAAAAGAACAAGAGGCTACACAGAAAGTTATACAAGTTTTGTTAGTGACTGGTCAAGAGGTTCCTGGTAGCAGTAAAATATTTGAATTGTTGGAAAATGGAGTTTCAGGAACTTTGAAGAAACCAGTGGAAATACTTAGAGTTGAGTGTGGCCAGCATATTTTTGTACCAGAAGAATACCAGGTAAAGCTTAAGAACTGGGATAAGATCAAAAGACGTTTTGAAAAGAAAAACCCTGAACATGGGGGCAAATGAGAGCAAAGAGATTCCTAGGGGAACCCCTTTAGGGTGCATCTTAACACACTGGAAAGCGCTAGTGGGCTATGGTGGTAGTGAAACTAAAAGGGAACTTGTTAAATTTTCTACACAGTGGTGGCCACTCTATAGACTTGATGGGGGGTTGAAATGGCCAGCAAATGGTACTTTAGACTATGAGACTTTATTACAGTTAATGCTTTTCCTTAGGCGTGAACAAAAGTGGCAAGAAGTAACTTATGCTGATATGTTTTTCAGTCTTCGAAATCACCCTGAGTAGCAAAGGGATTGTGGGATTAGGCCACCGTCTGATCCACTGGTACTGGCTCTTGAAAAGGATAATAAGGCTAACAAGGAAAAGCTCAAACGGTGTTGCAGCACATGTTCAATAAATCAAAGATGCTCGCACCCAAGTAAAGTGTATGCAACAGAGATCTTAGAACAAGGGACAGCGGAGGCACTTTTACCACCGCCTAGAAACCAGAAAGGGAGGGGAGTAGAGGAGAGGGTGGGGGAACGAGTAAAATCAGAACCCTCACCAACTTCAGCCTCCCCTAACCTATCCTCTGGTTCGTCTACCCTGGAAAAACCAGTAATTAAAGCAAGAGTTTCCCCACCAACTCCTAGATCAGGGGAACCCTCGAGGTTTTATCCACCATTGCCCAGTAGTGATAGTGAATGGGATGAATCTGAACCAAGTCCCAGGCCTTCCCCACAAGGTCCAATAGCGTCAAGGACCAGAAGGCAAACCAGAATGAACCCACCCCCACAAACAGCTAGAAAGCAAACTAAAGGAGTCATACAAGCACCCTTAAGGCAAGCTATAGCCTCTGATGGGGAGCCAAGGATAATTAAGGTCCCCTTTTTCTCAATGGATTTAGAGGCTTGGGAAAAGACTGCTAAGGGTTATCGAAATGACCCGATAGGCGTTGCCAAAAGGTTAAAGTTTATGGTTAAGCAGCATTTACCTGATTGGGCAGACATGCAGTTACTACTTGATGCTTTAACAGAAACAGAGAAGCAGTTGGTTTTAAAGGTATCCAAGGACTTAGCTGAGGATGCTTGCGTATCAACACAAGAAGATATTAAAAATGTATTTCCTCTTCAGGACCCGATGTGGGATCCCAATGAACCTGATGAATTAGCACAGCTTAAGAGATATCAAGACTTTATAGCGAAAGGACTAGAACGAGCAATTCCTAAGACCATAAACTGGTCAGCTTTGTATGCTGTTAAACAAGGTCCCTCTGAAACACCCTCTGATTTTTTAGATCACCTACAAGACGCGATGCGGCGATACACCACTCTGGACCCTGGATCAGAGGAAGGAATACAACAACTAATAAATTTGTTTTTAGGACAATCCACAGGAGATATCAGGCGGAAACTTCAGAAGATCCGGGGCCCAAATAGCCGAGACTTGGACACTCTATTAGATGAAGCATGGAGAGTCTTTAGTAACCGGGAGGAAGGATATAAACAAGGGATGAAGAAATTAGTAGCAGTAGCAAGGGGGGAAGGAAAGGAAAAATGTGAGCAAGACCTGCCAAGACAAGGACCACCCCGACTGGGAAAAGATCAATGTGCATTTTGCAGGAAATTTGGACACTGGAAGAACCAGTGCCCAGAACGAAGAGGAGGTGACGAACAGAGAAAAAGCGATCGGGGGGGAGAAAGAGTGGTTGCTCATGCGAAGGAGGACTGAGGAGGACCGGAGGGCCCTACCCTAGGGGACCCTCTGGTTGTAGTTAAACTAGGGAATAAAGAAAAGGAAGTGGAATTTTTAGTAGACACAGGGGCAACATTTTCAGTGTTAAATAAGGCCCTAATACCTTTAACAAATGATTATGTTATGGTAAAAGGGGCTACTGGCCAATCTGAAAGAGCATATTTTTGCAAACCATTAAAATATAAATTGGGAAAGCAATGGGAAATTTACCGGTTTTTATATATGCCTAATGCTCCATCTGCACTTTTGGGCAGGGATCTGCTAGAGCAGCTGGATGCAAAAATAATATTTAAAAATGGAGACATTAGCTTGGAGGTAAAGAACCAACAATACGTGGAGTTGTTGAGCCTAATGTTAATAACCAAAGAACTTGAAACTGTAAGTGAAGAAGAAAAAAACTTCAGGAAAATAATGGATCAAATATTCCCTGGGGTATGGGCTTCTAATATACCAGGGAGAGCAAAGAATGCAGTACCTATACAAATCAAGCTTAAGGAGGGGGAACGGGCAGTGAGGGTTAAAAAATACCCCCTGAAGAAAGAAGATAGGCAAGGGATTAGCCCAATTATAGAAATTTTTTTGCAAATAGGACTGTTAAAAGAGTGTCAATCTGATTTTAATACCCCCATTTTGCCAGTAAAGAAGCCTGATGGGTTATACAGGTTAGTACAAGATTTAAGGGCTGTTAACAGGGTAACTGAAGACTTGTACCCAGTAGTTGCTAACCCTTATACCTTGTTAACTCGTTTAACACCTGAACTAACATGGTTTACCGTTTTAGATTTAAAGGATGCTTTCTTTTGCCTCCCTCTCCACGAAGCCAGCCAGAAAATTTTCGCATTTGAATGGGAGAACCCCAAAACTGGACGGAGGAACCAGCTCACATGGTGTGTATTACCACAGGGATACAAGAACTCTCCTACTATATTTGGGGAACAGCTTGCCAAGGATTTAGAATCTTGGGAACCTCCACCAGGAGAAGGACAGTTGCTTCAGTATGTAGATGATCTCCTGATAGCCACCCAGACCCAGGAAACATGTGTGGATTGGACAGTAAGCCTCCTAAACTTTTTGGGCCTGCAGGGGTATCGAGTATCCCAGAAGAAAGCCCAAATGGTGAGGCAAACAGTCATTTACCTGGGTTATGAAGTGAGTGCTGGACAAAGGACCTTGGGCCAAGATCGCAAAGAAGCAATATGTCAGACCCCGAGACCTCAGACAGTGAAAGTACTGAGAACCTTTTTAGGCATGACAGGGTGGTGCAGACTATGGATTTATAACTATGGGTTACTTGTAAAACCTCTGTATGCCCTGATCACAGAAGAGAGCAGAGATCTCCAGTGGACAAAGGAAGCAACCCAAGCCTTCGACCAACTAAAGAAGGCCCTCGTGTCAGCTCCAGCCTTAGGACTTCCAGACGTGAGTAAACCATTTTTCCTGTTTTCCCATGAAAAACAAGGGATCGCCTTAGGAATACTAGCACAGAACTTAGGCCCGTACCAGAGAGCAGTGGCTTATCTCTCCAAACAGCTGGATACGGCAGCTAAAGGATGGCCAGGGTGTCTCAGAGCCGTTGCAGCAGTGGCAGTGAACATCCAAGAAGCACGCAAATTCACCCTGGGCCAGAAGATGACTGTGCTAGTATCTCACACAGTGTCTGCAGTCCTTGAGGCAAAAGGGGGACATTGGCTCTCTCCACAGAGGTTTCTAAAGTACCAAGCTATGCTAGTAGAACAGGATGATGCTGAAATTGTGGTAACTAACATTGTGAATCCAGCTTCCTTTCTCAGCGGGGGTATGGGAGAACCAGTGATCCATGACTGTCTGGAGACCATTGAAGCCACCTACTCCAGCCGTCCGGATCTGAAGGACATCCCACTCGAAGGTGCTGAGACTTGGTTTACTGATGGAAGCAGCTATGTCATCAGTGAAAAAATGCATGCTGGGTATGCGGTTACCACAAGCAGAGAAGTAATAGAGTCTGGACCGTTATCAGCAAACACCTCTGCACAGAAGGCCGAAATAATCGCCTTAACTTGAGCCTTAGAGTTGGCAAAAGGAAGAGAGATTAACATTTACACAGACTCAAGGTATGCATTTGGGGTAGTTCATGCACATGGAGCCATTTGGAAAGAAAGAGGACTGTTGAATTCGCAAGGGAAGAATATTAAACATTCACAAGAAATACTGAGACTACTAGATGTAGTGCAGCTACCTGAGAAGGTAGGCATCATGCACATTAAGGCACACCAAAAAGTGAGCTCTGAATTGGAAGAAGGGAATATGCTGGCGGACAGAGAGGCAAAAGACGCAGCCAAAGGTGAGGTATTTGAGGAGACAGTGGAAACAACGTTAATCCCAGATGAAAAGATTTCTATTGAAGGTAAGCCTGTGTACAATAAAAAGGATAAGAAACTTATTAAGGCAGAAAAAGCAAATTTTAATCAAGAAGGATGGGCTATAACAGAAGAAGGGAGACTTGTGGTGCCCTCCTATTTGTTGTGGTCATTAGTGCAAAAAGAGCATGAAAAAACACACTGGGGAATAGATGCCCTGTATAACCATCTGAAAGGAAAAATTATAGCTTGGAAATTACAGGGCACAATAATACAAGTAACTTGTCAATGTAGCCTTTGCCTCCGAACTAATCCTAAAAACATCCCAAGGCCTAAAGTTGGACAAATTAAGAAAGGTTGTAGACCTAGGCAGCAGTGGCAAATCGATTTTACAGAATTACCTAGGAGGGGGGGATATCGTTATCTCCTAGTATTGACTGATACCTTTTCGGGTTGGCCAGAAGCCTTTTATACTAGGACTGCTAAAGCACGAGATGTAACCAAAGCACTGTTGCAAGAAATAATACCGAAGTTTGGAGTTCCAGCCACCATATCCTCAGATAGAAGGCCGCATTTTATCTCCAAAATTGTGCAACAAATTAGCTATCACCTGGGGATAGATTGGGAGTAACATACCCCATATCATCCTCAATCGAGTGGCCAAGTGGAGAAGATGAATCATTTGATTAAACAACAAATTGTAAGGTTGGGACAAGAGGCAAACCTACCTTGGCCCCAAGCTCTCCCATTAGCATTATTGCAAATCCGGACAAAACCAAGAACAAAAGAAAAATTGAGCCCCTTTGAAATATTATATGGGAGACTGTCATGGTTTGACACAGGAAGAGAATTTTTTTTTTGGAAGGAAGAAGTCAGTCCAGTCAGGGGTCAGGTTTGGATACTGACACTTGGGGTGACCAATTGAAGGTGGACACGCCTCTGAGAACACAGAGGGGTTAAAAGCGGAATTTCCAGGAGGACTCGCCCTTCTTTGGTTCCGGTCATCGCAAGGTACGGACCTCCCCTGCCCAGCCCGGGCAGAGGTAGGCCAGGGGGTGAAGGATCGGAACCAAGGTGGGCCACCTCCTGCGGACGGAAGGGTGGAGAACATCTGGGATGTTTTTGTTCCCCCTCCCCTAAGCTAGAGGGAAAAGAGATAGAGAGCCAGCAGACACCTGGGAGTTTGCCGGCGGAGGAGAAGGAGAAGGGGGGGGGGGGAAGATGCCCAGCGTGGGAGACTGGAGACAGAGTCCTGGGCTGAGATTTCAGCCGTCCGGGGAGTCCGGGAATTTTAACCCTTTCCTGTGAAATGAAGGCTTTATGAAATATGACTCCTCCTGAATTTGAAGGAAAGAGAGACAGCCTGGGACCTCAGATGTTCAGAGAAGAAGGTTGGGGAGGAGATGATGGAGTGGCTTTTGGCTGGACTCTGCTTGTTTACCATAGACTGAACCACTCTTTCTTTCAAGAGGGACTGCATTTTAGGGGGATGCACTGGTGAGCCAAGAGACCTTCTTCAGCAACTACCAGTTTTGGAATGGACAGAGAGAGCTGAGGAGGGTGTGAGGATGCCCTCCATCTTCAGAGAAGAAGAGAAGGAGATCTCTGTCCTTGGACCCTCGGCCCCAGGGGAAAATGGGGGGGACTCTAGTCCCGAATTGTGATACTGGACTGTTGTTCCTGGTGGTCCTTGGCAAAGCATCCTTAAAGGGGCCCTATAAGCAGTCTCTGTCCATGCACAGGGGTGAGAGCACTGTGACATGGAGAGGAGAATGTCACACTGGCCGGTGTGTCTGGGCAGTGCCACGTGTGACATTGGAAACACAAGAGGTGGCAGCTGTGTTTCCTGGGGGTCTATGGTGCAAGGGGGACTCCTCTCTTCCCGGATGGACTCAGTATTGATTATATTGAAGGGTGAAAACCTGATTAAGGATCCAAATGGGTCTCGCTGTGGTTTGGTGGAGTTAGGTGGTGGGAGGAGGAATTTTTTGGAAGGTTTTCATTTCAAATTTTGTGTGTTTTTTTTTTTTTCTTTCCTTTCTTTTCCTTTTATGGTAGTAGTAGTAGTAGTGTAATAAAGTTTTTCCTTTGTTATTAAGTTTGGCCTGCTTTGCTCTGTTCTTGATCACATTTCACAGCATTTGATTGGTAGGTTGTATTTTCATGGGGCGCTGGCATTGTGCCAGCGTCAAAACATGACAGAGACCATATGCAGTTCAAGAAAGAATCACACCAACACAGGTAGGGGAAGAAACCCTACATAAATATATAGTAGCCCTGAACAAACAATTAAGGGAAATTAAAAAATATGTAGCTAGAGCTCATACCAGAAAATTAGATAGGCCAGTACATGATGTACAACCTGGGGATTATGTATATGTTAAGTCTTTTGCAGAAAAAAGCCTGGAACCACAGTGGGAAGGACCCTACCTAGTGCTCCTCACTACCTTTACTGCAATCAAGATTAAAGAACAGAAAGCCTGGATCCATCACTCCCGAGTGAAGAAAGTTCCTGAGGGAGTCTAGAAAGTTACACCAGGTGACAACGAGCTGAAATTGAAGCTCACCTGCAACAGCGAATAAATGGACCTATAGAAATTATGGACATAATAGAGAAGGTCGTAACTATTATCACTATTGCCACAGTTGTAACAGGAGCCAATACCACACAAGTACAACGTAACTGGAATATACCAGTGTCAAGGAAGGGCCTATGATCCCCACTCTCGTAGGGCCCTGAATGAGGTTATAAAGGTTACAAATGCACGTTTGTGGGAAGGGAGAAATGTTTGGAGATGTAACTATGCATTTGTGCAAGATGGGTTCCATGAGGCTTACCAACCACCCATGAAACTCATTCATATTAGCCCTGAATGCTGTGACAAATGTTTGAGTAGATGTCCTGAATTTAGACTAAAACTAGAGGGATGTGCAATAAGAGAGTATGATCTTGATTTTAATATCACTCAAGTGTGTGTTGAATATCATAAGAACAGGACTAGAACTACCCCTCCAATACAAAAGAAAGCTATTACTACCCCACAGCCACTTATCCCAGAAGTAGAGGAGCAGCCTATAGCTCCTACGATTACTAAAATTGGGCCGTATGCTATTAAGAAAACAGGAATCCAAAGACTGCTGGTCAATCCGGAATGGTCTCTGAAGTGAGTAGAAATGGGAATAGAGGTAAATGCTTCAGATATCCGGCCAGAGTGCACCCCATTTCTCAGAAATACTTTCATGGACTGGGCCACTTGGCTTCAAAAACAAATGCCCTCCAACTTTAAGAGTAAAAGAGATCTCACTGGGCTACTAGAGACTGGACTAGGAGTGCTAAATACCATAGATTCAGAAGTACTGATGAATAAACTAACAACAGTAGGGAACGACTTGGTTAAATTACAGCAACCTTTGCAATCTTCCCTACTAGCACTGGGTGACAACCATTGGAAGTTATCCAAAGTATTACCAGAATGGGAGAATACTGAAGAGCAAGACCATGAATTAATAATTAATGCATTAGGCACAGCTAGCGAAAATGTTTCACTAGCTCTTGGGTGTACACCCAAGCACAACTATGGATGCAGTCAGTAGCTGCTGCAGTGATCAGGGAAGGCAGAGAGGGAATATTCCCTGCTGAACTCCGTAAAATTGTTTGGGATAGTGGATCTGATATAGAAAGGGAACTACAAGCTTGGTGGACTTTGGTCAATTTCACTTATAACCCTATGACAAGTAAAGTAACAGCCTTTGTCTTAACAATACATAATGCATCAGTGAGCTTAATTCATCCTATAGTGCCCCTAGGATTAAACCATGAGGGGACTGTGTTATATCCTTCTGAACATAGAACATGGGCGCGAAAAATCAGAGGAAAGTGGCAAACCATCAATCTAGAGCCCTGTTCTATGAGGAGACAACTGGGGTACATATGTGAGGGGACATTAGAAAGTGATAAAGATACATGTTTAGATATGGACCAAAACATTTGCCACTTAGAAACGCATTCAGGTAACCAAACAACTTTGCTTGTATATGTAGGACAAAGTTGTGTCTGTCTCAGAACAGCATGCTCCACCATAATGATAGACAATCTAAGCATGAATGAGACTCAGTTCAATCTATGTGTCTGTAACTTTGTTAAAATTGAGGGATGTGACTTCTCATATCAGGCACCTGTAGTATCACACCAGTATATAAAAGCCAATTTAATTACTGTACAAGAAATAGTGCCCGTGCCCATAGGAATGAATTTGACTTTAGTTGCCCAATTGTTAAAACATCAGGAACTGAGAGAAATTTTAAAAGAGATTAGAGACGCAGGGAAAAAGACTTTAATTACTATACACCATGACACAGGGACCATCAAAGGAGTTTTTAAACGATTTGAAGAACACTTGTCTCATCATTGGTGGGATGTGCTTTTTGGATGGTCACAAACAGCAACCGGCATACTTAATACTTCAATCCATCCTATAATTGTGTTGCTTATTTTAGTTAGTATAATCTTGATTTTGTCTGTTGTAATACTTGTTTGGAATTGGAAAATGATACGACGAATGACAGCCCTAACTTCACTATCAAAAGCATATGGCTTAGTTTTGAAAGAAACTAGACACATGTCTTGGGCAGATGAAGAAAGGTCTATATATTGAGTTAAAGAATTTACTCATTCCAAAGAAGAAGTGGGGAATGAAACGTAAACTTTAAGGCATTTATAGATTTTGAGGAGCTAAGATTTTAGTTAGAAATAAGCCTTACTAGAGTTAATTAAAATAATAATAATAAATGAGTAGGCCTTGATGAAGTTAGGAGTTAGTAGTTAACTAATAATTAATTGCTTGTCAGCACAATGTTTAGTTAGCTGGGTTTATAATGAAGAATATAGAAACTGATAAATAGCTTTTAGGAACATAAGACAATTGTGGGCCTCCTCTGTTCTGAAACCAATTGAAGACAAGGAATGGGAGTTCTACCAAGAGTTCATTTGTCATACTTGCATTGAAAAGGTAGAAAGGTCAGAACGAAGAAGACTTCATTTACTTCCTCATTTTGGGACCCCTCCCCATGAAAGGGACCACCGACCCATTTCAAGGGACAAACTACGCATGCTTAATAGCTTTTGGAGTGATTATCATACGAAGCAGGGAATGGGATGTACCAAAATTATGAATATGTATTTGTATTTTGTATATTCAATACTTGTATGGATAAAAAGACTCTGTAATCACCTGGAAGGCGCGGTGTGTATTTGGGAGCTATCCCGCACACTGCTCGGCGTCGAATAAACATACACTTTCTAACTTTAAACTGTTAGAGAGTTTTTGTCCGTCACAGTTGGATATCGATACTAGATCAATATCCATATTTTTTTAATAAATCAGCAGAGCCGGCGCTGCCCCGCGCCACACGGTCACAGTGCTGGGGCAAAAGCAGAAGCGGCGGCTTTTCTGCCTCTGCCCGCACTCCCGGCACGCTGGTGAAATTGCTGCGCTGCCGCCCACCGCGCCGCGGAAAACCGACACTCTGAGCCGCGCGCCGCCAGAAGCCGCCCGGAGCCTGGGAGCCGCCCCCACGCTGCCGCACCGACCCACAAAAAAACTGCGTGCACACACAGACCCCTGCACCCAGGGCTAGCACCCTTCCCTCACGCCGGGATGAACCTGTGAAAAATGCATATTTTATGAATGGCTTTGTGAAAAATGCATATTTATGATTGGTTTTTCGCAAATGTTACAATGAATATTATATGTGTAATGTTAGAAAGTTATGCTGTATTAATTCTCTTACGTATTGTGTTGAGTGTAGTTTTAGGTTACAACATAATGTTAAAATAGAGACTATGTATGTGG